GGCGAGCGCACGCGCCCTATAGCGAAAAACCTCTCCAAAAAAAAAAAAAACCCCAAAAATGTAACTTCATTTATGTACTTAATTTGAACATAGAGGGACAGAGAGAAAGAGAAAGAGAGTGAGAGGGAAAGTGAGAAAGCAAACTGCCAGGTCCGGGACTCAAACTATAGTCAGCCATGTGAGAGTCCAACGCCCTCAACCACCACGCCACCTGCTGCCCCCCCTGTTAGGTCTTGAAGTTGGGTAATGCCAGTCTTCTGACTTTGTCCTTTTCCTTCTGCATGGAGATGAGTATTTTGGATCTTTTGTTTCCCTGTACTTTGTATGGTTGTGTCTCTCTTGCTCATAGAAGAAGTAAAAAGCATATGTGTGTGTATGCGTGTGTTGATTATGATGGTAAATACTCTTAAGTTGTGTGGTCATGCATTCCTTTGCCAATACTGTTTAGTTAAATATCTTTTCTTTTTAGATGTTCGTTCCAAATGGGAGTATGACGAGAGCCATGTGATTACAGCCCGTCGTGTGAAGAAGGTACATTGACAGAATCAGACCTGGGCAGGCTGACTGTCGTGCAGGAGGGTGGGAAAGAATGGGAGATTTTATCCTCGATCCAGGAAGTGGCACCTCATGATAGACACTTGTGCAGTAGAGGCAGAACTGTTGCCTCTGCATCTCCCACCTTGGCCTCACATGTTTCCTCATGTGTCCCCACCCTTATCATGGTCAGCAGCTCCATTCAACAGGATTCATTTAATTCCTCAAGGTGCCTGGCGCTGTTCCAGACTCGGGGGGTACAACAGGGTATTAAATGCCCTTAGTTCAATGTCCTGCTCCCATAGATACTCTGCGCTACTCAGTGAACAGACAGTAAACCATAGAGACCTTTACTAGAATCCAAAGATGGTGGCCCTTCTCTTTTCTTTCCTTCCTTTTTTTTTCCCTTTTTATCTTCCCTTCCTGATTCCAAAAGTGGGCAGAGCTCTGAATATAGTCACTACGTCCCCTCTCTTGCAGTGAGGCGCTTTTCTCCACTCCTGCAGGGTGCCTTCTCTCCCAAGAATCCATGTCTAACCTCTACATTCCTGACCACATTCTCTGCCCTTGAATTTGAGGTTCTCTTCTACTTCCCTGATTTCCTCTCTGTCTCTCTTTTCAGTTTCATTTTCTCCTTCTCCTGCTTACAGATAACTTCTGGTCTGTCCTTGGTCTGCTTTGTTTTTTTTTTTTTTTTTTTTCAGGATATCTTTTTGCCAGAATTCCACGGAAGCTTTTAGCTTCATTTATCCACATGCAATTAGCTGTCCTGTCAAGTTTACTTCTAAAATTTTGTCTTACAAAATTCTCTCTTCTTCCTATCCCTCCTGTCACTGCACTGTTATACAGGCCTTCTGTACCTCAGCAGGGAGCATGGGCCCTGTCTCAAGTGTCCTCCCTGGATAAGCTTGCTGCCTAACACCCTCCCTTTCCTGTCCAGTCACCATTATCTGCTATTTTCCTCGCTGGCCTTTCAATTCTCACTCTCTATACTCTAGCTCTTAATCCCTATTTCAGGCCTTACTCTGCCTTGGGCTTCAGTTCCTACCTCAACTCTGAAATCTATGTATTCCTTTAATTCTGATGGCAGTCCTAGCTCTGGAAAAAAGATATTCTCTCTGCCTTAGCTCCTCAGAACCTCTCATTCTCTTGTCTCCCCTCCCTAACTTTCCAGTTAGTAGATTGAGGCCTACAGGGAATCTCCGGCCCTAGCAGAACACAAAGTCTCCCACTACAGTGTTCACAGTTTCCTTGGATCTGCTGCCACCTCCCTTTCCAGAACCTTTTCACTCTTACCAGATGCCTCAATGTGCTACTTTTTTTTCCTGCTTGTAAAATGCACTTATTCCCCCTAATACATTAACATGTTTTGAAAATAGAATACATCCTACAATTGATTTATACTTTCATGCCGTTATATCTTCTCCCCAAAGTACATGTGGTGGACATCTGTTATTTTTCTGCTGTTGCTGTTCCTTTGATGGGAACTCATCCTCTTCCTTCCCACACCGTGGGATTCTAGTAGTGCTGGCCACAGTGATTGGCCATGGATGGGTCTGGGATGAAAGCTTGAGTCAGTAAGAATTAGAGACTGGCTTGTCTTTCCATCTTGGTGGTGGAATTTAGAAGAGTGTCTGAGCATTGCTGGTGAGTGTGGCTTAATTTAAGCCTCAAGGAAAAGTTATCTGAGAAGCGGAAGTCACATGTAGAGGGGGGGCGGCAGAGGGAGGCCTGGGCTTTAGAGTTCCTGATTTTCCTGGAAACCAGTTCCTCCCTGCCCTGCCTGCAGTGTTGTTAAATGCCAACAAGTCCCCCCTTTTGTGTAAACTCCTGATTACTACTGTTATTAAATTGGTGGTCTTTTTTTTTTTTTTTTTGAATTGAAGTATAAGTTTATTTTGAGGAAAATGTTTTTAAGTTTATGCACAATATCCATTTCCTATGTTCATTTTGAAGACCGTGTGTGTGTGTGTGTGTGTGTGTATCAGAAATGCAAAAATATAGGTAAATTTGTTGTAGAAAAAAAGAGAAATACCTGATAAGGAGATTAAAATATTAATTGACTTTAAAAATAAAAATTTATGAACTTTTGTAATTTAGAATGTTATTTTGGTATATTTTTTATCATCTTTTGCATTAATGAGATTGTGATGTCCTTGAATTTTAATTGTGTCTAATGTGATGAAATACTTCTGCATATAAGAAAAAGAAACTATAAATCATAGCAAAATCATTTAACACATTGAATTAATAATAAAAGTATTGTTTTTCTTTCTTTCTTCCTTTTTTTTAGATTTTTGTCATGGGGTGTATGCACTCACTGGAGAGAGACAGAAACAGAAGAGGGAAAGTGAAAAATCACCCCTCTCAGGGGGATGGCCATACCACAGTTCCTACTCTTTCATTCTCCTCTCAGGATTTTGGGCACACACACCAAGCATGCTCCCCAAGCCACCATGTCTGAAACTTGAACTGTGCAGTTGACCATGTGAGGTCCGCTGCCTTAACCACCACACCATCTGCTGGTCCTGTGGCACATCTTACAGTCAATGATGTCTTAAAACCTGGGAGATACGTTCCACATGGCCCATGCACCCACTGCTTTCTTGGGCTTCCTGGCCTCTCTTTTTTTTTTATTCAGATTAATTTCACATTTTACATGAAGTCCCCATCATGATATATACAATGTAAGTGCTTTTTTTTAAAAAAAAACAGAGTACTTTACATTTTTCCATCTGTCAACTGTTTCCTCCCCTTGCACCTTACACCCACCCTCCACCACCTATTCTCAACCGTTCAGTCTCCCCCCATTACAGCGTCTAGCATCCACACTCGTCCTCTCCACCATCACATCTTCAGCTCTCTCAGCCTCTGCCACAGAGTGCCAATACCTGGCCTTTTCTCTGAGAGTAGGAAGGCTGTTACTGTGTCTCAGATGCCCATCTAGTCCCTAGTATCTGACAGGTACCCAGAGTGTATTTGTCCATTAAAACAAGTGACTGGAAGCTGTTTCTTTCTGTAACTCTCTCTAGCCTGGCCTAGCTGGCAAGTTTTCACTTGTCCTTGTAATTGCATCTCAAATGTCTCCCTTTATGTGTACCCTTTCTGTGCCCTCAAGACCAACTTAAGTCTCTTTCTTTCCTTTTTGAGAATTTCTATATTAATAAATGAATGATTCTCTACCTGTTCTCTCACCTGCTCCTTGACCTGCTCGGCCTCCATGGGCTGTTCATGTCTTCACACCTTGCCAGGCTCCTCTCCACACCCAAGAGCCCCCTTTCTTCTTTCTGTCTAAATCCTGCTCATCCTCTGAATGCCGTCTAATTGGCATCCTCTTGAAGGCCCTCCTAGTTCCTCTAAACAAGTAGGATTTCTCCCCTTTAAGTCCGAAGAACCTCCTCAATCTGTGCTTCATAAGCCTTATCTGACCGCCTTGGAGTAGAGTCGAACTGTAAGTATCAAATCCCACCTGCAGCTCCTCTATCAGGCCTATTCAGCTAGAGTAGGTCACAAGGCCAGAGTGAGGCTTCAGTCCCCAGTGTCCCTGCTCCTGGGAGTTAATGGGAACCATTGCAAATAAGTGAAGATAAGACTCAGCTGCTACCCAGCCAGACCTCCCTGAGCTCTGTAACACCCTTTAGGTTCATGCGCAGTTCTAGTACTGTGAGATAACATCTCCCTGCTGACCGCATTGCTTCTCTAGTGACCTTGTTACCTTCTAATGTGATCCCGCTATTCCTTACCTCTCCTCCACCTCATGGCTTCTGCTTGCCTATTGATTGATTTAACAATATTAATGGCCTATAACAAGCCAGATAGCCATTCTAGAAGCTCTGGGATGCATTAGTAACTGGATAAGGACAAAACTCCCTGCTCTTATAGAACTTATATTTGATCTCATAGCTCGCTCGCTCTATGTCTCACTCATAAGCTTCTCTGAGCCTTCTGCTTCCTGCCCTCTTCATGGGTATTTTTGGACTTGGTCCCTCTGCCAACTACTCTCCTCATAAGAGAGGACCTCACTAATTCATTTGGGCATGGTTACTCTGATGCCAGGGTACCTACTAGTCTGTGGGCCAGTCAGTAGACCAGTTGTGTTTTGGTCAGACCCTCATCTGTGGTCCAACCAGCTGTGGTCAACTTTTCTCAGAGGAGGATACAGATGTGGAAGATCCTTGGAATCTAGCAGACGCTAATCCATTCTCAGAGCCTCCATGTTGGTGTGCACAGAGCAGGGCAAGAGCACAGGCCTAGCTCCAAACCCCTCCTAGTGCTGCGGTGCAGGAAATACCTGCTCGAACTACTGACCTCACTTACCAATACGCCTCTCTCGTGATCTTCTTAGAAGGGGAATGAATATCTTATCCCAGAGTCTGTGGATCTGGAGTGTGTGAAATACTGTGTGGTATATGATAACAACACCAGCTCCCTGGATGTAATTGTAAAAGATGACCATGAAGATGACACAGAGTCTGAAGATTCTGACCAAGGTAGGTTTTTATATCCTCAGCAAGAATAATAGTTAACATTCACTGCACGTTTTCATGTGGCAAGAACCATGATGCTGGGACCAGCAGTTAGCATAATGGCTATGTTGCTGAACTCCCATGTAGTCAGCCGTGGTTCAAGCCCTGGACCCGGTAGCTTAAATTCACGCCAGGCATGTGTGCTTGCGTGCCCAACATCCTGAGAAGACAAAGGAGGAGAAGGGATTGTGGTGTGGCCATCCCCCTGGGGGGTGATTTCTCACTTTTTGTCTCTCTGTCTCTCTCTGTCTTTTTCGCACGCACCCTGTAGCAAAAAAAAAGAACCACGATGCTGGGACCAGCAGTTGGCATAATGTCTATGTCACTGGACTCCCATGTGATCAACTGCAGTTCGAGTCCTGGACTCGGTGGTTTAAACTCATGCCAGGCACGTGTGCGTGTTTCCATCCCCCCCGGGGGAGGATGTTTTCTCGCTTTCTGTCTTTCTGTTTCCAGGGGGGGCATGTTTTCTCGCTTCCTGTCTTTCTGTTTCTTTCTGGTGAGCACATATGCCCTATGGCAAAAACCTCTCCAAAAAATAAATAATAAAAAATAAAGAACCATGATGCTAAGGGCTTTAGGTGGGTGGGTCAATTCATGCTGTCCATAGAATAACCTATGAGCATGGTGATGTCAAGAACTGTGAGGGATCTGAGATGTACCCTTCTTGCAAGATGACTCGTTAACCTACCAGAGTTTCATGGATACTGACAGAGATAAGATCTCTTGGCTCAGAGACAAAGGACTGTATTATTCAGAGTGACAGAGGCAGCCAGAATGTCATTATTTTCCTGTACTGATTTTCAAGACGTCAGTTCTTATAGGGTGGTCTGCTGATACATACAGTGGGTTACATCCTAAACGAACCATGAACTTAGGGGGTCTGAATCTTTTGAAATGGGGAGAAAGGCGGGAGAAACTCTTTCACTGTCTCCTAAGATTGTTACGCAAATATCTTGAAAAGATATCTGGAATGAAGACTACCAGTGCCTTTGTTTGTAGAACATGGAGAAATGTGAGAGGCCTTGGAGAACTTTTCTAACAGACAGCATTTATTTTCCCTATTTTATAGATCAGGAAACTGGGGCCCAGAAAGGAAATAACTCACTCACTATCCCACACCCAATGAATTAGTTGTCTATTGCTGAGTAACAAATTACCACCAAACTCAGCAACTTAAAACTACAAACATGAGTTATCTCACAGTTGATGTGGGCCCAGAACTCAGAGAAGATTAGGCTGGGAGGTTCAGGCATAGGATTTCTTCAGAGGCCATAATTAAAATGTTAGCTGGGGTTCCTGTGATCTGAAGATTTGGGCCAGTCTGATTGGCATCCAGGGTGAATTAACCTCTGACTATAACCAGGAGGCCTCAGTGTCATTCTGGCTGTTGGCTGGAGGACATAGGTCCTTGCCACACGGGCCTCTCCGTTGGACTGCTTCAGTGTCCTTACAGTGTGGCAGCTGGTTTCTCCCAGAGTGAGTGACCTAGAGAGATGGAGAGCAAAGGGTGAGTTACCTGCTTCTCATGGCCTAGTCTCTGGATTTACACACAGGCACCCCTGCTACAGTCCGTTCATTGGAAGTCTGTCACTCGGTCCAGACCATCTGCAAGGGGAGGAAAGTCTGAAGGGAGGAATCTGAAAGAACCTGTAGACATTTTTAAAAGAATTGCTAGAGAGCATGTGTACTCGAGAGAGAGGTAGAGAAGAAAAGTGAGAAAGCACCCCCCAGGGGGATGGTCATGCTGCAATCCTGTCTCCATTCTCCTCTTGGGATTTTGGGTATGTATGCACACATGCCTGGGGTGTTTTTCAAGCTGGTAGGTCTGGGACTCAAATTGTGCAGTCAGCATGTGGTATCCTTACCAGCCTGCCACTGGCTGGTCCCCTGTGGACATATTTTTAAATCACCATACCTAGTGAGTGCTGGGGCCAGGATGCAAACCTTGGCAATTTGACTCTGTCCTTGTCACTGAGGCTTGGAGTGGAGCAGGAGAGCGATACAAAGTCACTCCATCACAGTCACTCTAGTGAACATTAAAATGTGATCATTTCCAATGTGTTGTACTGAACCTTTGAGGATCTGCTATGCTTGCTATTCAACCCCTAATTTTAGACTGATCATTCCTTGCCATTGATATGGCACGGTGTGGCATGGTGGCAGCAGTAGTGTGTAAGGGGTTGGCGGGGTTGCTCTGCATTTTGTGACTCAGTTGCCAACGTGTGATTACAATTCCAGAGACTAGGCACTCACATCAACTACCACTGGGTGGCACTAAGCTCCTGCCTTTAAAAAAAAAAAAAAAACAAAAACAACCTTCAGTTCTTCTTTCTAGAAGGCTTTAGCCAGGAAACTATCCTCTCTTCCCTAGGCCCAGCTGGTTGGCTTCCAGTCTGCAATCCTGGGGTTGTAGCTGGACCTGGAAATCCTAGGAAATTGTGACCAGTAAAGATAACTCTGTGCTTTATAACTGACCCACTGTGCTATGGGGGCTCCATTTTCACTCAGTGGGATACCACAACTAGTCCACTGTAGGTCACTCTTTTCATTTAAAGTGATATCTTTCCAGTAAATGCAAAGTCTCTTGGATACAAAACCATCTCAAGGTTTCTCCAACCTCTCTTTTTTCCATTGTTTAGCACCTACCTTGTAGTTCTTCAAAGAAATCTGGGCAGGGGGAGCCTTCATCACATCCCAGAAGTGGGTATATTGTGATGGTGTATATGTATAGACCTTGCTGGCCACTGGGTGAAGTGTAGCTCAGCCCGAATGCCTCTGGCCACAGTCTCTGCCCTTGCTGTGTCTGTAGCCAAAGTGCCCATGGTGCTGGAAGGCATGAGCGGTAGTCTGCATCTGGCAGTGACGTGTACCTGGGCTTCCCTGATGCTGCAGTCTCTATGGTTGGACTCACTACCCACCTCCTCTGCCACAGAGTCTCAGAATTCCTACTGGGAAATGAGGGCCAGCCCTTTTCTGCTGCCCTACCACCAGCCAGTGTCTGTCTCCCTCCTCAGCTGGGTTTCTTCTTAGGGACCCTGGAAGTATCTTCTTTGGCCTCTAGGACAAAACGACATTCAAAGAGCATCCTCTTCTTGTTTGAGAGAGATTTCTCTCATGTTAAGTCATCCTTCCTTGCAACAATACGGATTGTAGCCCCCCTCCTTCCAAGCCAACTCTTTTTTTTTGGAGAGGTTTTCGCTATAGGGCACGTGCTCTCGTCAAGCAGACAGAGAGAGACATAGAGACAGAAAGCGAGAAATCACCCCCCAGGGGGGATGGTCACGCCGCAATCCCTTCTCCTCCCTTCTCCTCTCGGGATCTTGGGCACGCACGCACACGCGCCTGGCATGAGTTTTAAGCCACCGGGTCTGGGACGCGAACCGCGGTCGACTACATGGGAATCCAGCGACATAGCCATTACGCTAACTGCTGGTTCCCCCAAGCCAACTCTTGACACGTGAAGAGAAACTTTGGGAATTTTGAGATTTCTTTCCCCTCTCTCAGCAAAGTCTGATTTTTAATACAATTGAGTGACTAAAGACCCAAAATAATTGAACTTATAGCTTACTCCCTTGAGCAAGAGTCCCCTTGTTCTGAATGGTGCCTTCTCTCATGGAAGCAGTGGCACTACAATTCAGTGTGTGGGAAATCTCATGTTGATGGAGAACGTAGGGATTAATAGAAATAAAAAGGGTTAATTTAATGTTTCATACTTATACTTGCTTCAGCTTCCTAAACACTTGCTTATCAGAAGAAAGTGGGCATCTACTCTAGCTCTAGACAAAGAGCACATGGGGAATGTTCATCTCTTGCTCTCTATTCTTAGAACCCATGCCTGGAGCTGCAGTGGAATTTGGCAGAATCTTGACTCACCTCACCCGCTACCCTGTCTATATCCTGAGAGGGGGCTATGAACACTTCTCATCCATGTATCACTTCTTCCGGACCCAGAAGATCATTTGGATGCCCCAGGTAAGGCAGAGTGCAAATGCAGGCAGGCTAGGATGGGAAGTGTGGGCCCCGGGCACTAAGTGGAGGGGGCAGAATAAAAGAGAGAGGCGAAGGAGCCAGAGGACATGGAAAAGATGGAGGAGATAAAGGAGACTGGGCTGGAGAAGTGAACTTGGAGCACCAGGAGGACAGTTTATTATCTCGAGTTCCCAGCTGTCAGGTTAAGGCCAAGACCAGATAATGTGGGCTGTTCTAACTGCAGGTGATCCCAGAGAGGTCTGGCTGGAATGGGCCATACTCAAAGTTAGGCAGGGGGACATCGTGGCTTGTGGCTACTTCTCTATTTTTGGCAGTCCGAATCCACAAATCTTGTTGGATCCAGGGAATACAAAAGAGAGTGAGTCGACAGGCCTTGTCCTTGAGGAATTCTTCGTATATGAGGAAGACAGTGGTTGTAACAAGTGCTATGGCTGAGGAACGCACCGTATCTGGAGTCCAGAGGAGGGGCAGTTAGTGTTCTGGAGCCAAAGCTGAAGGATGGGGACTTTGCAAGGAAGGGCACTGGGTGCAGGGTGTAGAAGCCAAGCATTGGCTGTACAGTGGGTTGTGTATGTGTGTATCTGGTTTATGAAGGGTCTGAACACAATGGAATATGAACATGAAATTATCTCTTTTTTTCTAACAATTACCTTCAGCCATGCCCTCATTCTTGCCCTTAGCAACATCTTGGGCATATTCTATACTTTTCTGGCCCATTTGGTTGTGACAAATCTAAGTTATTAGTATAAAATGATAGAGGAAATGTGGATATTCACTGGATATTTGATGATATTGAGAAATCATTATTGCTTTTAGTTTGTGAGAGTACTGTTACAGGTACATTTTTAAAAAATCCAAGTCCCTATCTTTTAGAGATACAGAATGAAGTATTTACAGGTGAAAGGATATGATGTCGGAATTTCCTTCAAAATAATCTTGAGTGTGATAGGGAGTTGATGGGGGTTTAGATGAAAACAAAACCAGCCATGAGCTGATAATATTTGGAGGTGGACAAGGATAAAGGGGTTGATTATACCATCCTTTTTACTTTTGTATATTTTTGAGATAACTTTAAATAGAATAAAAACAATCTGTCTAAAACAAGCAAGGGAGTTTAACATTCTAATCTCACGTCTGAATCCGGTTTCATCTCTTCCCATCTCCAAGAGCTGGGCAGCTTTTGGTTTTCCAGGGAACCAGGAGTGGAAAGGGGTTTGGGTTAGCTTTCTTCTTCTTCTTCTTCTTCTTCTTCTTCTTCTTCTTCTTCTTCTTCTTCTTCTTCTTCTTCTCCTTCTCCTTCTCCTTCTCCTTCTCCTTCTCCTTCTCCTTCTCCTTCTCCTTCTCCTTCTCCTTCTCCTTCTCCTTCTCCTTCTCCTTCTCCTTCTCCTTCTCCTTCTCCTTCTCCTTCTCCTTCTCCTTCTCCTTCTCCTTCTCCTTCTCCTTCTCCTTCTCCTTCTCCTTCTCCTTCTCCTTCTCCTTCTCCTTCTCCTTCTCCTTCTCCTTCTCCT